ACCTGAGACACTCTGTCCTACCTGAGACACTCTGTCCTACCTGAGACACTCTGTCCTACCTGAGACACTCTGTCCTACCTGAGACACTCTGTCCTGAGACATTCTGTCCTACCTGAGACACCCTGTCCTACCTGAGACTACCTAGGACTCAATCTTAGAATTAAAATACAGTTTGACTGATTAAAAACAACTCAATAATAGATAAAATGCTGTCACTAAAAATGATCACTAACATTTATATGTGACTATAGCAGCAAGCTAACATTTTATAAGACAAACAGCTGTCCTGTGGACTTATTTCTGGTTCTTTGTAAAGAATAGTTTGATCAAAAGTTGGATGTTCTGTGAATGAGGCTGACCTGCAGCAGCACCAGGAGCACTAGAATTYATCACCACGTTGTGTGTCTGTGTGTGTGCGTCTCGGTGGGGGGGAACCAGACTCCGGGACCTGCAGCAGCTCTGACGAGGCGCATTGACCACACCAAATAGTTTATTTAAAACTTGTAGAGCAACCGAAACTTTTAACCAGCTGAGCARGCCAGCCAGTCAGCAGGCAGACCACGGGAAACTTCCCAGTGCCACCAATAGTCTGTCCAGGTCTGCCCACAGCTCTTTCAGCTGTGTCTCTGGGTTACACACTTCCTGGTTGCTGTCGGGCGGACTAAACCATTTTGTGCCTCCAAGAGGGGACCCCCAGAATGTTCAACATGTTGTGTGGACAGCAAAATAAAGTTCATTCTCTCAGTTTATGTTATCAATATATTTGAAATAAATTACTACACCAATTAATTGAAGGGCCCGTTTCATTTGAAAAAAATAAAATAAAATCAGGACTTCCATGGGCCCCTCTGCCTTCTAGGACCGGGGGTACTGAGTTCCACATTCCCCCGGACTTCCACGCCCATGCCCAGAAAGGTCCCCAGGCCGGGATTTGAACCGGGAACCTTGTTGTTGAGAGGAATCAGCTCTACCAACTGAAAGATTCCCAAAAATGTCCAATCAATCTTGAAGAAATACAAATCACTCATGTGAGATCATCTTATGTTTTGAAATAGTGTTGGGTAACCATTTGTTCAGTGCTTGTATTCCACAGTCTCATTTGATATTTTGCTTTCAGTTATCAGGGTGATGTCATCGACAAACATCAACGCTAACTGCTATTAATGCTGCTGAAGATGGTGTTTGAAATCTAAACTCAAAATGTGTCAACTGAAAACAATGGCTGAGTCTCATTTCAGGGGTTGCGGCTGACGTAGGCTGCATTTCCGACAAAACCTCTAAACGCTGGCTGCATCTGAGTATCAAACACAGCCGACAGTATCCCAGGATTCAGAAAACTAAACAGAAAAACAAAGATGGATGAGGTTTTTATAGACTTTTATGACCCCCGCACGTGAAGCGTAAGCGGGAGTCGTCGATTTTTTTTTCAGGGATTTTTGGTCAACCGTAGAACAAAAATGGCTGCACCGATCGACATGAAATTTGGCAGGATTGTAGATGAGTCCGACCTACACTGCACCAGCCAACGGTTTTACGATAGACCCCATATTTGAGGAAGGGGCTCCTTTCAAAGTGGGGGTGTCAGGACATGCAAAATCGCTTATAACTCAGAAACTGTTCAACATAGGAGCTTCAGATTTCTTTTGTTGTTTAGCTCTGATGATGGGCCTGCCATCAGGCCAAATGCCACCCCAACCCCCCCCAAAAAAGACCCCCACCCAAACTGCTACAATTTTGGGACGCACCTAGTAGCATGACATTTATTACAAATAAAGACTTCTGAGTTCTGTTGCATTTGTGCGTGCAGGGGTCATTATATTACCACTATGCGGTGTCTAGTTTATGGCAGAGTTTTGTTTTTACAAAGAAGTTTATAGATTTATCAAGAACCAATTAATTTGCTTTTAAATGTAAGTTTATGAACATAGCTGATGAAATTTATGCTGCTTGAATTTTCAAAAAAATCTATTATCTTTGGATGTCTACAAAAGTAAAACAAACAAACAAACAAACTTGGAAAAGTGTTTAATGTAATAATTATTTTGGGTACATTTTTATTCATGAATGTTGAAAAGCACAGCTGGATGATCTGAACCTTTCAAAAATGCCCTAGCTCCACATTTGTCTTTTTATTTTATTTTGTTAATTGTGTGTGTATATATATTGTTATATATCAACTGTAAATTAATGTATTTATATTTTAAAAATGGCGACCAAGAAGTAATTCTTTTAGAGCCTGCAGCTTATGGTATGGATCGTGCTTCTGGGACAGATTGAGCTGCCAAAACAGTGTTAGCAGCGTTAGCCGTTACTATTGTCTCAGGATGATGATGTTAAAACATACTTACATGTAAATTTCAACATTTAAGATATAATTTTTTACATTTAAATCTAAGGATTTAATATGTACATATATTGTTTAAAATTTAAACAAAAAATAGCAAAATGTACAAACATTTTGATAATTATAAAATGTTGGTGGGAAAGTTTTAACGAGGATTCTACACTCAGAAAGTGAGTGAAATAATGAAAATGTGTTAGTGCCATTTTGTAACATTTTGTTACACTTGGCACCCCATACCCTCAGCGTGGGCGTGTTAAATGACTCTCAGACAGCTACCACTGCAAACTGGATAAAATATATTTTTTCTTGGCTTAGGTCTAATAGCTCTGGCAGCCATCTTGACTTGGAGTAGCTCCCAAATTTAACGAGTTATACATGTAAAAATAAATAAATAAAATAACACCTTTGGAAAGTTTCATTAAAATCTGTCCATCTGTCGGTGAGATATTTTGCTGACAGACATGTTCCATAAATCATTCTAAATGTAAATGAGCAACAGCTTCAAGCCTTTAATGTGCATGTTGGTAAATGTGCTGTTGTCCTTTGTGTCCACAGCGCAGGGACAGCCAGTCTTACATCCTGGTACTTTACGTTGTCAAGGCAGCCTGGGAGCACTGCTGCCTGCCTGCCCGCCTGCCTGCTGCAGTGTCCGGGCTCGTGTCTGTCCAAAGACCSTCCTCAGAAAGTGTCCCGGAAACTTCAGGTGTCTGAAAGGTAACCGATGTGCRTGCTGTGTTCCCTCGTGTCTCCTGGCGCTGCTTTACCTCGGGAACACGCGGCTGTGGGTTAAAAACCATTTTAAAACAGGCAGAGGACGGGCTGTCCGCAAGGACAAGAGGCGGAAGATGGTGTCCATTGTACCGCCGAGAGAGACACGGATCCAGGCTCGACAAACAGCTGTAGGTCGCTTTGTTCGTCTCCGGTGCTGAAGCTAAGTGTGTCGTTTGTGAAAGGATCAGATACAGAGTAAAATGTCTCTGGAAGGACGGAATGTGTGGTAGAACGGGGCAAGTTTAAAGAGACAGTCACTGTTGTCTTCCTGCACACAGTAGGCCACGATATGTGAAAACCTGCCGTTTGGACTGCTAGAAAAGGTTAGCTTTTACACAGTAAACAGCTGTTTGTACAAAATAACCTCACAGGAAGTGATGTGTTTAAACCTGCTTTGACCTGAGTCCTGCTGATGGTTTAAAGAAGTAGCTGAAGAAAGAAAGAGGTACCAGTTACATTTTAATCAGAAATGTGAGATGATAAGTCCTATGAGACAATAAGTTTGAGATGGTTTGTGACAGACTAAATCCTTACATTGCTAATAGTTTTTACAACTATGACCATGGATCTCAGCTGAATGTCAAGTCATATTCACAGGATGCTAAATCACTATTGTGACCGGCTTAATTATATTTTGACGTGTTTGAATATATTCTTGGAAAAAAGGGGCAGATACAAGATTTTTTTCTTCTGCTGTCTTCATTTTATGTGATTTATATATTTTCTTCTATTGTATATATTTTGTTTTTAATTAGAGAAATTCTAATTAAAAATAAATAAGTCATAATTATGGGGTGCTAAGTAAAAATTGTAAAAACACAATTTAAAATTGTGAGATCCTGAGTTATAATTTTGAGATGCTACATCATTGTGATGTGAAAACATACTAAGCCATTATTTGGTGAGAGTCCTAACTAACATAAGCTAAGTCATATAACTGCTGCTGTGAGCCATCCATCCATCATCCATCCATCCATCATCCATCATCCATCCATCATCCATCCATCCTTCCATCCATCCATCCATCCATCATCCATCCATCCATCATCCATTCATCCATCCATCCATCATCCATCCGTCCATCCATCCATCATCCATCCATCCATCATCCATTCATCCATCCATCCATCATCCATCCGTCCATCC